GATTAAATTGCAATCATTTAATCATTAAATAAATTACCAGAGTGAGTATGAAGTTTAATTCGTTTATTTTAAGGACCGAGTTCGAAAAAATATAATAACCATTGCATCCCACAACATTATTATACATTGCTGTAATTAATTTATAACAAATATCAAATATTGCATTCTATGTCAACCATCGTGTCCTATGACAACGTCTTACATCAACAGTTGCGTCCTAAGTCATTATAGCGCTTTTGATGTGATGACACGTCAATTAGATGTAATCATACGTCTTCAAATGTCTGCATCTATATTTCATGAACTCTGTACTATAGCATTCAAATTTTTCTATGGACTCATGCTTACATATAATTCATGAACTTTCACATGGCCGGAGTCTTTAACTTCTGTGGCTTTCTTGAAATGGCAAAAAGGCATTTAAGTTTGGATAAATGCATGAAGTAAATTACGTTTACAAATTTGATCGATGGCCGATTTATAACCTATAAAACTATAATTATTTTTTGATGTATTTTATAATTTCTAGTTCATTTAACTCATTTCGCAATTTTCAACTTATTGAATTTATTTTTGTAACTATATTGAGGGTCCTTTAATAGGTCGGATTAGAAATTATGTGATAGTGACTATAGTGTGTTTGTGATTATATACAGGTTAAATGATATAAATTTAGTTGGTAAAAAAAATATGACTATATCAAATTTGTGACTATATCAATAGTGACCATATCGAGGTGTGACTATATATGTGAATTTAAATGTATATGTATATTAATCTATGTGAATTTATTAAAACGATCTTTTCACTGAAAATAATTCAAAAAAAATCAACCTAATTGTTGTCGTTATCAAAAGACAAACTGTAACACTAAAGTTTTTCTTATCGAATAAATAATTTATTGTGCACAAGACTGGTGAATTTAAAAGTAGATTTTTTTTTTATTTTCTTTACCTTAAATTTATGTTTATAAAAGGTTATAAGACGGGTAACGGTAACGATAACGATAATATGCGCATATAAATTTATCTGTGTTTGTACGACATATGGCGTACCACAGTGACACCGTCAAAAAAAAATCTGTGTAATAAATTTTCACCGTTTATGAAATAACGTACGTACGTACGTACGTTATTCTTAGATTTGTAAATGATATGTCACTTCACTAAGCGATATAAATTGAAAAATGACAAGAACATATATATAAATCATAAAAAAAAAGAAAAATTTAATAATATCGTAATTACAAATTATTTTATTTTTAAGATTTGTATTGGTATGTTATGACGACGGAAAATTGCAGATTGTGATAGGATAAATAATTTAATGAAATAGAATGAAATTTAGACTTAATTTTTATTAATTAATACAATCAATTAAAGTATCATTTAACATTACTGCAATTAAACAAAAGTATATCTAAGTAGAGGAAGGTTCAAAGATGTAATCCGGCTATTATCTTGTAATCAGAAGTGATAAGTTGTAGTAAGTTGTAATATGAGTAATATATCCTTACAGAAATAAATAATATCTATTCGGTTTTAACATTTTCTAATATTATAGTATAGGTTGGTCTGGTCTGGCGCATTGATTTTGAATTCGTGTAACATAAAACAGTAAAATCCAGTTAATTCAAAATCATAGTAAGTTTTGTAAAAGGAATTTCCTAGAATAGATATTTTAATTTATTTTGGTGAATTGAACTGCATATTAGAATCAAGATCAAATTTTTTGCACATAAATAGTCGTGCAAAGATTTTCACGATTAAAATCTTTGGCCAGTTTGGATTTATTAAATTATTCGTGTTTCTAAACGTTATTTTTATGGATCTTAAGATAAATAAATTGAACTTAAATTAGGATTATTAAAAATAGGGACGTACGTATATGCAACCTAAAATCTCATTAAATAATAAGAGAGTAATTCTTCGGGACTTTGTTTCCGGTTCTTTTATACTTTCTAATTTATCTGAAATTATTGTAATAGCAACCGAAAGCAAAGTCCTTAAGTCCTCTTTTAGGACTTCCTCGCTTATTTTAGAATTACTCAAATAAATGTTTATAGGCTCATTCATTATGGCTATTTGATTGTTGGAAGTTACCATGGTGAAATACCACTTTTCACCATGCCATACATGTATTCAATTTCTTCCCGTTTTCGTTTCGTTCCCTATAAAAATAATATAATTAATAAATAAAATTCGATAATAGATCGTACAATTAATATCTTACCTCCCAAGCAGTCTTTGCTTGAACTAGATTTTGGCATAATCCATACTCTATGTCATGCATTTTTGCTTCAATTACGCAGAGAATATTACTACCTTGACTAATGGTAAAATCAACTCTGCCTGTACCGTTAGTGCCGGATAGAGAATATTCTCTGCATTATATTACCTTGTCGGAAGAAAATATGGATACGATGCCACGTAGGATGGCGGCAATAAATCTATTTAAAACGAATACGAATCAAAATTCAAAAAATAATTTCAGCGCCATTTCGCATTCAATAATTCTATATACCCGGCATAATATATAGATCTAAATATTAATAAATTATTGGACCATTCGGATTTTTGGAATGGTCGCAAAAAGCATATTAAAGTCGTTCTCACCTTTTACAGAGATGTCATATTTTTTAGACACCAATTCTATTGTTTCTTCGCTAATACTATCATAAATCCCTCTTTTGATTTTTTTGGAATGAACTCCAAAAATCGATAGTATTGGCATCAAATATAAATTTCCTTTTCTCTTTTCTGTAAGTAATCTCGCATAAAAATGTATTCTAAAAAATATATATATAAAATAAAAAATATATCGTATCAGAAAAATAAGTTGGAGGGAATTAACTTTGTGTCGCAATCTATTTTTTAAATTGCCATACCTGGGTATTTGAAGTATCTTATTGATTCCATTTTTTCCAAAGATTATTTAACGTCGTTATTAAATTTTGTCTATATAACAAAGATGATTGGTTGCATTGTTAAGTTTAGGGTGTTGCAATAAAGAAGTATTTTGATAGCGATAGAGAGTAAGACTAAAAAGTCGAATCAATTCTTATTTTACTTACACTTATTGCTTCTAATGCTTGTCTTTTTTCTCGGGTATATTATTTGCTATATTATGTTTTAGATAGCTATAATATTCTTTATGCTCCGTTTCTTTATTTCGTAAAATGCTATGTTGCTTTGCAATATAGCAAATATTCGTGATAATTCAAACTATAAATAAAAAAAAAAAATTTAAATTTATAAATTAGACTTAAATTAAGATTTAAAAATATAAAACAATTGAGCGAAACACATGCTATATATTATGTAGATCACGTTAGCATAGCGAACTTTATTGTGATTGGCTGATTTTTGTAGATCATCTGGTCATACTAAAGTATTATTAAAGTAACG